TCTCACCAAATAATCTGTAACACTTAACATTTTGTCTTCCACTTGTTTCCATATTATAGTTACACATGCAATGCAACAGTACGGATACTTTCTCTTTTTACTTTTCCTTTTAATAAAGGTAAACTCCAGGCAGGTGTGGTGGCACATACCTGTAATCCCAGCACTTGAAGAGGCTGAGGCAGATGGATTGCGGCAAATTTAAGGCCAGTCTGGGCTGTATCGTGAGCCCAAGGCCAACCTGAACTTCATAGTGAGTCCCTGTCTCAAAAAAAACAAAAACAAAAACAAAAAGCAAACAAACAAACAAATAAATAAAGGAAAGCTTCTTCTGTTACTCATACTCCCAGGAACATACTATCCCTGTTGCTGAGACCATCACTGTCACAGGTTTTGTGAATTTGCCTTGACAGTGCTTTGCACTTTTCCACACGTTTATAAAATAAATAGTTCTGAGCCAGGCATGGTGGTGCTTGCCTACTCTAGGAGGCTGAGGTAGGAGAATGGAATGTTCAAACCCAGCTAGGCAACTTAGCCATTTAGTGAGAACTAATCTCAAATTTTAAAAACAGCTGAGTCTGATGGCTCATGCCTGTAATCCCAGCACTTGGGAGGCTGAGGCAGGAGGAACACTGTGAGTTCAAGGTCAGCCTGCACCACATAGTGAGACCGTGCCTCAGAAAAAACCCAGTAATGTAGCTCAGCAGCTCAGTCCTGTGAAGATCCTAGCTTCAACCTCCAGTACCAGAAAAAAAAAGCTTTTCTTTAAATTTGTGTAAACTGTTCATATACATTACCGTCTATACATATCTGCAGATGGTATTTTCCCCCAGTGTGTTTCTGAACTATATCTCAGGAACATTTTATTTACTCATTCCCCACCAATGAATTCCGATGAAGTTGCTCTGCACCAGGAACAATGCTGACACGAAGGTTTTTTGTGCAAGTCTCCTGCTGTCCCTGTCAATCGCTTTCCTGCGGGAGTCTACCTAGAAGTGGTTTTACTGAGTAGTGGTGTGATGTGTGCGTTAAATTGTCTGAGACACTCCTTTGTTACTTCCTAGAGTCAAAAGATGGTCCCCTAATCTGAGTAGTTTTCATCTAAAAGAGTTTCTATTGTTGGAGATCAAACCCAGGCCTCACACATACAGGGCAAGCATTCTGCCACTGAGCTGAACTCTCAGCCCCAAAAGACTTTCTGTCAGATGCAATGAAATCTTAAGAGGTATTCAGAATTTTCGTATACCTGGTTTTGCCCCTTGGCGCTTTAAGGACCCTGTAGAGCATGATAGTGTAACTCAGTGGTAGAGCACATATCTGCCACGATCAAGGAATATCTACATCAGGAACAACGCTGACTCAAATGTTTTTGTGCAAGTGGCCTGCTGTCCCTGTCAGTCAAGTGGGACAAATCCCTGGAGTTGATTACCAGCAAAAAAAAAAAAAGCAGACGTAGTGGCACTTGTAATCCTAGCACTCTGGCAGGCCGAAGCAGGAAGATCGCAAGTTTAAGCCCAGCCTGGATGGTTTGGCAATTTAGCAACTTAGGGAGATCCTGTCTTAAAAAATTAAAAAAGAGCCATAAACATGCTGCCTCCCTAACCATTTGTTAGTGCCACTTTACCTGATACACGTGTTTCATGGTGCTGGTACTTACAGGAAGTGCCTGCTACGAATGGGTTTGCTAGTGGTAACTGGGTCCTCTTTAGAGAACCGCTGACAACATACAGTAGACTTGTGTCTGCGGGGCTGTCTCCCTCCAGGGGCCATCTCAGAACCGACCTCCCACCCCATGCATATTTACTGAGCAGAGTTTCCCAAGGAGGTGATCTTGTGTGAATAGGGTGAGTGTAGTATCACAAAAGTTGCACTCAGTGTTACGCATTTCTCTCTAGAATAATAAAGAACAAATAGAATGGTTTTATGAGCAGTTAACATTGGTTGAAGTGCTATTAGGTGCTAGGCACTTCTCTTGGCTTTTGAGGGGGGCATGCTGGGGATGGAGCCCAGGATCTCTTGCAAGTGTTAAGCAAGTGCTCTAACACTGACCTCGTTTTCTCAGCTCTTTGGGTTTTGGAGACAGTTTCCTCTGTAGATAGCCCAGGCTGGGCTTGAATTCATACTTCTCCTGTCTTCTGTCTCAGCCTCCTGAATGCTAGGTTAAGCTATCTATGTAATAATAAAGGCATTATTTTAATAATAATGAGTAAGGTATTGTTTTAGAGCAAAGGACTAAGGTGCAGAGGGTGAGTAACCTCCCAAATTAATCCTATTTCTTTCTCAGTGCTGGATCTCTAACCCAGGGCCTTGCAAGTGCTTAACCCTGAACCACACCCACTGCCCTCCCCATTAAAACTCAATTCTTTCGCTTAAGGAAGCCAAAAGGGTAAGCCCTTTAAAATAGTCCTGTAGCAAATTTAAATAATTGTGCAATGTCTAACTGAGGGCTTTTGACTTCCATGCCCCCTCCCCCAAAAGTGGGCTTTTTTGTGGGGGGTGGTCCTGTTTTTTTGCTGTTTGGAACTGAACCCAAATCCCTCACACTGAGCTACATCCTCAGCCTTTTTTTACCTTTTTTTTGTTTTTTTTTTTCCGGAAGTTACTGTGGTGGCCACTGTCTGTAATCCCAGCATGGGGAGGGGTATCACCATGAGTTTGAGGCCAGCCTGAGCTACATAGTGAGTTCAAAACCCCCCCAAACTATACAGCGAGACCCTTCCTCAGATATTTTTTTAATTTTGACACAGGGTGTGGCTAAGTTGCCCAGCCTGAGCTACTGCACCTGGCTAAATTAGTGATCTAGGTGGGGAGGCGCTGGTCCCTTCCCTTCCTCCGTGCTCCTGAGCAGCCATCCCCCTGCTCAGCGTTGAGGCTGTGATATCTGACCTTTTGCCAAACTCTCACTCAAAGGAATTACATCAGCTAAAATCTGCTTCAGCTGATTATAAAAGGGAGCTTTGTAAAGGAGTCAGGGATGAAGTAGATGTCTTACCTGTAGGATTTTTTGTTCTTGTTTTGTGTTACTGAGGATCGAACCCAGGGTTTTGTGCATGCTAGGCAAGTGCTGTACCACTGAGCTACACCTCCAACCCACTCACAGATGTTTGAACGATCATTTTTAAGAAAAGCACATTCTATGGCCTTCTATGTGTGTGTGAGGAGGTCACTTAACCTCTTTGCCTGTCAAGTAGTAGTTGTGTTTATCAAGACAGATCAGTTAAACCATGCAAAAGGATTTTTGCAAAGTGTAGGTTCATGAGAAAAAAAGTCCTCTGTCAACATAAAAGTCTAGGTAAATGTTAAGGAAGATTTGGAAAGAACTGGCCATTTATGGAGTTGCTTGTCTGGGGAGCATTTGTCAGTACAAGACAGGAAGAAAACCCAGGCATTGTGGTATGTGCCTGTAATCCCAGCACTCGGGAGGCTGAGGCAGGAGGATCGTAAGTTTGATGCCAGCCTGAGCTACTGTATGACCCTGTGTCAAGAAAAAAGAAAAAGACACAGAAAGTGTAATGAACTTTTTTTTCCCCTACACTGGGGATTGAATGCAGGACCTTCACACTGACTACATCCCTACCTCTTTTTATTTTTTATTTTGAGGATCTTGCTAAATTGCCCAGTCTGAGTTTAAATTTGTAGTCTTCCTGCCTCAGCCTCCTAGAATGCTGGGATTATAGGTATGTGTTATGATATCCAGCAGTGCTGAACATATTTCTTAGGAAAGCTCATGACAGATTTAGCATCAAGAACTAAGCTGGGCGTGGTGGTGCACTCCTATCCCAGCATTCAGGAAGCTGAGACAGGAGGATCACTGTGAGTTTAAGGCCAGCCTGGGCTACAAAGTGAGTTCAAGGCCAGCCTGAACTGCGTAGTGAAACCCTGCCTCAAAAAGACACCCCCCCACAAAAAAAAAAAAAAAAAAAAAAAAAAAAGAAAGATGGCATAATGAAGCCATTGAAAGCTGTCCTGGAAGAAGGTGAGATATTAGCTCTGTAGCATTATACAAGACTGTGGCCCAGACCTGGGGGGGGGGGGGCTTTTCTGTCCCTGCCCTGTTGCCCAAACAGGCTTGTAGCCTTAGCACAATGATTCACTGCTTCATCGACCAGGTGCACGGCCTTATGTTTGCACTGTGGGGAACAAGACAGAATACTTCCCTACACGATGAAGATTATATTTCACTCTGGTTAACAGATGAAATACACAAGGAAAAAAAATCACTATGAGAATCAAAATAGGATAGCTAGATAGAGTTAGGCTGGCTGAATGGTCTGGGGGAACTTCCCTAAGGAAGTGTGATCAGGTCCCAGCAGGAAGGAACCTACCACATGGTCATAGGGGAAATAGAGACAGGATGGGGTGGTCCTAGAGGGAGCAGACCAGGGCAGCCCTCTAGCTAGACCCCGCCCCCAAGGGAGGGAGTAGTTAAGAGATGAAATCAAAGTAGAAGGGAGGAGCTGGCCCCTGGGGATTTGTAAAGAGGGGGCAGTCCCAAAGGAATTGTTAAAGGCGAGGGTAAGACTGTTACTCTTTAAAAAGATTGGCAGAGAGGAGGATCCAAGGACTAGAGATACTTGTGGGGGTAGGGGTGGGCTAGAAGCAACTGCATTCTTATTAACCAGAAAGAGGGCAGAAGTAGGGTGTGGATTTTGATGGGTTTATGGAATTGTTGGGAAGATTGAAAGCTTATTTCTAGTTATCTTTTTCTTTTTGGGGGGACTGGGGTTTTTGTTTGAGTTTTCTTTTTCGTTGTTGTGACTCATGCATGCCAGGCAAGGGCTCTACCACTGAGCCACGCCCCCACTGGTTAACTTTTTCTTGGTGTGGATAGAAGTCTGATACTGGGAAGTGGGGCAGAGGCAGCCCTGAGAGAAGGCAGAAGATGCCTGTCCCTGCTTCCCGGGAAGTCACGCCACGTAACCTCCCCTAGCAGAGTCTCAGCCTCGGTCTCAGACCCAGGCTAAGATGTGTCTCATGCCCAGTCCTCATTTTCCCCCTCATAGCAGCCTTCCTAGCTGCTGCCATGGAGGAGCCACAGTCGGACCTCAGCATCGAGCCTCCGCTGAGTCAGGAGACGTTTTCAGACTTATGGAAACTGTGAGTGGGTTTCATGGGAAGGACCGACTGGATGCCCAGCCCCCTTTAGGGTCACCATCCCCACCCCAGTCCCCACGCCCCTAGCAGAGACCTGTAAGAAGCAAAACTCAGTAGTACTGACTTTCTACTCTTGCTTTTCAGACTTCCCGAAAACAATGTTCTGGTAAGGACAGAAGTGGGAAGGAGCCGGGTACTGCGGTGGGGGGCAGTGGACAGGGAATCCAACCTTAGGACTCTGGTTTTCCTCATCCAGTCCAACTCACTGCCCTCACCCATGGACGACCTGCTGCTGTGCCCAGAAGATGTTGTGAACTGGCTGGAAGAAAACCCAGATGAAGATGTCCAAATGTCAGCAGCTCCTGTACCAGAGCCCCCAACACCAGCAGCCCCTGCCCCGGCAGCCCCTCCACCAGCCACTTCCTGGCCTCTGTCTTCCTCAGTCCCTTCCCATAAGCCCTACCGTGGCAACTATGGTTTCCGCCTGGGCTTCCTTCAGTCTGGGACGGCCAAGTCTGTCACATGCACGGTTAGTAGCCCTGAGGAGCTGGCTTCCATGTGACCTTTCAAAACCTAGCCATATCCTCCTAGGTTTTTCTGTCCAGAGCTTGGGGATTCCTCTTCAGCCTTTGGCTTCTTGACAGTCTTTGTGTATGTTTTATTGTTAGGTCTGTGAACTTTGACCTCTATCTCATAGTTCAGTTTTCTCCCTTAAACTGGGGCTTTCATCTTTCCCATCCTACTCTCAGCATCTTTCCTTAGGACAGGGGACTTTTTCTTTCCCCAGCTACTTAGGCTGAAGCAGGAGTTTAGGCTTGAGCCCAGGAGTTTGAGACCAGCCTGGGCGACATAGTGAGACTTTGTCCCCAAAAAAATGAGAGAGAGAGAGAGAGAGAGAGAGAGAGAGAGAGAGAGAGAGAGGAAAAATAAGCTTCCAGCAATTAGACCCCAACTCTAGCTACCCCGTGTTTGTTCATTGGAGCCCCTTTTTCTGTGTTTCATTGATCCTCTAACCTTTGATTCTTTTTCCTTCCTTCCTTCCTTTTCTTATAGTACTCCCCTGACCTCAATAAACTATTCTGCCAGCTGGCAAAGACCTGCCCTGTGCAGGTTTGGGTTGAATCGCCACCACCACCTGGCACCCGAGTCCGCGCACTGGCCATTTACAAGAAGTCACAGCACATGACAGAAGTTGTGAGGCGCTGCCCCCATCATGAGCGCTGCTCCGACAGTGATGGTGAGTGGTCAGGGGCTGGAGGTGGGACAGAGCTGGCTGCCCAGGGTCCCCAACATCTGATTTGTCCCTGGTTGCTCTTAGGCCTGGCCCCTCCTCAGCATCTCATCCGGGTGGAAGGAAATCTGCATGCAGAATATCTGGATGACAGAACCACTTTTCGCCATAGCGTGGTGGTGCCCTATGAGCCACCTGAGGTCTGATTTGGCAACTGGGATCTCTGGGAGGAGGGCACCAAAGGGCTGGAGGAGATTGTCGTTGGCCATTGAGGGAGCAGTAGAGGACTTCCCTGCCTTTCTTTTTTCTGTTTTGGTTTGTTTGTTGGAGGTTTTTGAGGGGGTTAGGGATGGAACCCACGGCCTCACACATGCTAGGCGTGGTAGGCACAGTACTGTTCCCCTCATGATCCTGTTCCCACTCTACTACTGAGCCCAGCCGCTTCTTATTCTACACCCCCACAAGCCTGTGAAGGGTGCAGAGCCAGTGGGTTGTCACCTTCATTTCTCAGCTAAAGAAACAGAAGCTTTCAGAGGCTACAGGCCTCCCTGGTTGCTGTGGATTTCCCCAGGTCAGGTTTTCTTCACCTGGGACCTGTGTCCTCCCCCAGGTCGGCTCTGACTGTACCACCATCCACTACAACTACATGTGCAACAGTTCCTGCATGGGCGGCATGAACCGGAGGCCCATCCTCACCATTATCACACTGGAAGACTCCAGGTAGGCAGCCATGCACCTCTCTTCATACCAGCATGGACCTCCCTACCCTCTGCCACTCCCTCTCACCTGGACCCAGCTCTTTACCACGCTACTCTCCATCCTTAGTTCTTACACCATGCCTGTGAGTAGAATTTTTTTTTTTTAACCTGTGGGCTGCTTACTGGTGTCCTTGGAGTTGGAGCTTAGACACCTTACACGACAAGCAGTTGGGAGCAGGTGGGACAAGTACGCCTCACCGCCTCCTACTTTTCTCTTCTCTTCCTGGCTAGTGGGAAGGTGCTGGGGCGGAACAGCTTTGAAGTGCGTGTTTGTGCCTGTCCTGGAAGAGACCGGCGCACAGAGGAAGAAAATTTCCGCAAGAAAGGAGGCTCATGCCCTGAGCCAACACCAGGAAGTATTAAGCGAGGTAAACAGGCAGAACAAGAGGACTTTGAGGAGGAAGAGAGGGGCAGTTCTGCCCCATATTCAGTAGTCTTTCCTTTCCTTGTCTCTTCCCCAGCACTGCCCACCAGCACCAGCTCCTCTCCACAGCCAAAGAAGAAACCACTGGATGGAGAATACTTTACCCTTAAGGTACCAAGTCTGGGAGAGATATGGTGTCTTTTGTTGTTTTTGTTTTTGTTTTTGTTTTGTTTCGTTTTTTGGCAATACAGTATCTTGTGTATATTAAATGTGATGAGGGGAGAAACAATATACCCATCATGCTCCAGGTTGAAAATGTAAAGTAGTATTTAAAATGCTGTTAACTTTTTGGCTGCTTTGCCTACAATTAAGGCATTTACCATCAGGGGGCAGTGTTGCTCTAAGGACTGGGGGTCCTTATTGTATAAGACTCTAAAACACTGACTTGGACCATAATACACATGCTCCCCCACCTAAGATAGGATCACATCCCAGTTAAGCCATCCTAAGTTGAAAGTATCATAAGTCAAAAGTGCAGTGAGGGCTGTGGTAGAGTACTTTCCTACACAGCACAAGGTCCTGGGTTCTGTCCCTAGCACTAACCAAATGCCTTTCACTCTGTGCCTCTGTTCAATGCCTCTCACTCTCACACCATTGTAAAGTCAAAAAATCATAGGTCAAGCCATCATAAGTTGAAGTCCATTTAGAGGACCACCTTTCAAAAAGAAAATTGGTAAAGAAACCATGAAAATGGCTCTACAGTTTTGCCTGATATTTCTCTGTCCCCTTTCACCTTGTTGCAGATCCGTGGGCGTGAACGCTTTGAGATGTTCCGAGAGCTAAATGAGGCTTTGGAACTCAAGGATGCCCAAACTGAGAAGGAGCCAGGGGAGAGCAGGCCTCACTCCAGGTGAATAACCTGGGGCACCCCCCATATCCCCACTTCGTGGTAACAGGCCGCAGTCCTGTCTTGCTCAAGGTCCCTTACTGCTCCTCTGGTCGTATCGCACAACCACTTTCTACCCAGGGTCATTCAGCCTTGCCAAGCACTCGCAGGTATGAGTGACCCTGTTTCTCCCTTTGAACTCAGTTTCATCATTTATAAAGTGGGGTAAGGGAAGATGAAGAGATTGATAGAAACGTTTAGTGAACGTATCTACAGGTGCTGGTGATCACATTAACTGAAATTCCCCTGCTCCGGCCTCAGATCTTTTAGGCCTTGGCCTCACCCATTTTACATCATCTCTTCTCTTTCCCTCTTGTCTCTCTACAGCTACCTGAAGTCTAAGAAGGGGCAGTCTACCTCCTGTCATAAAAAACCAATGTTCAAGAGAGAAGGACCTGATTCAGACTGACATTCCTTGCCTCTTCTCTCCCGTCAGTCAAATACCCCATCCCCCACCCTGTTCCTTCCCTGGGATTTGGAACTCTGGTGCTTGAATCCCTGGTTTAGGTGTGCCTCAGAAATGCCCAGGAGTTCTGCCATTTGCCTTGCCTGGACATCACTCAAGAAGTTGGCCTTTTGGGAAGGGTGGTGGGAGCTAGAATGCACCAGCTGAAATTTTCAGGTTTTAAATGTGAGGAGAGTTAAGAGAGGGAAGAAAACATTCTTGCATATAAGGATCAGAGTTTACAACCAGCTACATGCCCGGCTGGAAGCCCAGTTCTCCAACTCAGCTTACTGGGGAAGCTATGGCAGGTCATTTAATTTCTCCTAACTTGAATACCCACATCTATAAAATGCTGGTCATCATAGCTACCTCCCAGGATTTGTTTTGAGGGCTGATGAAAGAATGTATGTCTGACCTTGAACCATCTTCTATTACATGGGGGCTGGGTGCATAGTGTCAAGGTTAGGGTGCTGGCTAAGGGTCAGCAGCCCCTGCCAAATGTGCTCCAATCTCTTGCTGAACCTTGGCACCTGAAAGGAAATCTCACCGTCTCACATTGAGCAGGATTCCATCGCTAGCTCCCAGAGGGTCTTACCCACCCAAACCCACTTTACTATTTACTTCCCCTACATGCTCAGGGTCAATTTCTTTTACACTCTACAAGGCACATCTATACTTGTCACCCTCACACTTCCCTTTTTATATCCCCTTTTTATATCAGTTTCTTATTTTACAATAAAACTTTGCTACCACCTGTGTGTTTGGGTACAGGCTGCCCGGGCCCCCAGGTGCAGGGATGAGTAGGAGTGGAGGTTGGGAGGCAGCCACCTGAGTCGCTAGGCAGTGTGGGCTGGTGGGGGAGGCAGGCATCGCTTCCAAGAGGGGAACAAAGGCTGGGGACTAGGTCAGTCTGTGGGCTGCATGACAACAAGGGAGAGGGTGACTCCATTCATAACTCAGGAACCAACTGTCCCTCCTCCCCTCCTGCCAGGGCTGACGCAAAGTTCTTGCCCACCCTGCTTCTAGGGTTGGGCTGCTGTCCCTGGGCAGCCTCTCTCCAAGGATTAGGGGATTTAAATGTCTGATTTAGCAAGCCTGAACCTCCGGGGTGGCCATCTGCTCCACAGGGAAGGGGCAGCGTACCTGTGTTCCCAAGGAGAGGGGTGGGTGCTGCTGCATGAAGAGGCCAGTGGGAGGCCTGCCAGCCGGGGTCCCAGGAAACGGGGGGCAGCTAAGGTAAGGGCTAGGGCCTTCCCAGCATCTCTTCATCCCGGGCCTCATGCCAGGCGGGTGAATGAATTGAAGCTTCACACTGTGCCAGGAAGGGCTTTGAAAGGGCTTCTTGGGGTGGGGAGGAGAGTCGGGGTTGAGGAGCCCAGCACCCACTGCCCAGCCAGTTCCTTAGTGCTGTGGGCACCCAGGGAGGGGCTGGGGCCAGGCTCCCCCGTGCTGTGCTGCTGCGTAAGCCAGTGCCCATAGGAATGGCCAGTTAGTGAGCCGGCGGCTTGGCCTGCCACCTCCAATGTGGGGAGAGGTCCCAAGGTCCACAGGGACTTTGGGGCCACTGTCCTCAGCCTATCAGCTAGACTTAAAGTGCCAGGGGGAGCCCTCTGCCCTGCCCCAAGGTCCCAGACAGCTGAGAAGACCACCTTTGTTCTTGCTTATGAGGGAAGGCCAAATGCATCTCTTTCAGAGCCTTCCTCCTCCCCTTTGGCTTTGCTGGCTGGAGGCAGGACCCAGGGCCTCACGTTCACTAAATAATTGCTCTACCACTGAACTACACCCCAGCCCAGAGGCTTAATCTTCACTCCAGCCACCAGACAAACCGGAGCACTGGTAACTCAGTCTCTCTTACTCCTATGTACAGAACACTTTTGAAGAGCTCCCTTGTCTAATAAAAAATTTTTTGTCTCAGCCTATTGAGGTATAATAGACCCCCCCTACCCCAAAATTGTATATATTCAGGGTGTGCAATGAGATAACATTGTATAAACCAAGTATACTTATAGTCCCAGCTGCTGGGGAGGCTGAGGCAGGATTCTTTGAGCCCAGGAGTTTAAAGCCAATTGAACAACATTGCAAGGCAGTATCTTTAAAGAAAAAAAAAGCTCTATTGCACACCTATAATTCTAGCATTTGGGAGGCTGAGGCAGGAGGATCCCTAGGAGTTTGAGCCTAGCTTGGGCACACAGCAAGACCTTGTCTCAAAAAAAAAAGAAAAAAAAGCTGGCCAGGCAAGGTGGTGCATGCCTGTAATCCCAGCACTCGGGAGGCTGAGGCAGGAGGATCACTGCTAGTTCGAGGCCAGCCTGAACTGCATAGTGAAACCCTGTCTCAAAA